GATTACGGGGCACGCATCGGAACGGGAAGTTTTATTGTCCGTACGTAATATTGCCATACAACCAGCGAGAAACACGATTTCCTTTAAGTGCGAGGCATTGCTCGCGAGCAACAGAGCGCTGTTAATATATCCAGAGAACGAGGTTCATGACAAACAGGTTTCTCCGTGGCGTTGTACACTGTTAGGAAGCCATTGAAGCGAGCGATGCCAAGTTCCCCTGGCAGGTGATAACGCGGGGACGTAGATTTTATCGGAGTCATCGAATTTCGGCTGGTCTCCCCAGAGGAAAAATTGTTTGGATCAGGATTGGACCATGGTGGCATTTCAGCTTCAAAGGTTGTCGCGGTACGAGTTTTCTCGAAACTGCTACAGAAATGAAGACGTGTTCTTTGAATCGAATTTCTGTGCAAATTATAATTCCAAGATTGGTCCTCGTCAGACCCTCTTTATGTTCCTGTGTAACCACAAACTATGTTCGACTGTACGTTGATAGCCGTCTATAGGCACTTTAGCATCGTGCAACGGGTTCTTCGAAAACTCCAGCAGACAGCGTGTTTCTCGGAACCAAATGTCATCCAATTTGCAGAACGTAATTCTAAGGTTGAGCCATATCAGACCACGCCCCGATCTTCCTTTGTATCGACGAGCCTCGATCAATTCCACGCGACGATCTACGCGCCTCTCGCTATCGGTTGCAAATATCCTAAAAGTTCCAGTAGCAAAGGTTACTCGTACAGGATCAACCGAAACTAAGGAAAACTAATTTTTCCACAAGTTATCCAAGTATCTGCGAATATCGATTCCTTCGATTAGTTCGTGGAGGACAGGTACGAACGAAGGCGTAGCACGAAACACGCGTGTACCAAAGGAAATTGTGAACGCGATTAACCGTAATTACGGTAATGACGATGCTACAGATCGAGATAGCGAGGACTGAAGCTGACGCACGCCTGGGACCTACGCTGACTGGTAACGGGATATCGAAATCAATGGGATGGTTCTAACAACGGCCTAAAGTGGTAGATCGGCGGTTGGGACCAGTCCCAACCGGCACCCTCGCACTTAACGCGAGGGCATCCACTTTCTATGCAGACAGCATCGGCAGTGCGCGTCGTACGAGCTCCATTCTCGCCACTGGCCCTACGGGTCAAAACTATTTTTCAACGTGCTTTCAGATAAATTATGCATAATTCATGACCGTAATGCCGTTAAATACGATCCCCGCGAGATCGAGCGGAGGTGTGCCTCGTGCTAAGCCAGCCTTGGTGGTCTCGTCGTCAACCAATTTCTCCCTGCTTTCGTTCTTATTTCGATCCTTAGAAACGAGGATTTCCCTTCTCCTCGTGGATCCTTCAAGTTCGAGTTCGGAGATAATCTTCTAATTTTCAAATATGAAAAACATTGAAAATTATAAGTGGTCCTAACTGATGAAACATTTTACTCTATAGGCACTCCATACATTCTTTCCAAACTCTGTAACGATTCCCTTTCGCCTTCACAAAAACCAATGAGTTATTTTTCGTCGTTACAAGTCCCCTCCCCACGAATGAGTAGAAAATATCGTGCGTAATTCCCCGTAATGATCCTGTTTCGAACCAGTTTGAATTATTTTTGGTCGGACTCCATACGATTCTAACTCGAAAACCCTCGAGGAAAAGTCGACCGACGAGCGTCTTCCTCCTATCTCGTCAGAAGTAAGAGACATATTTACCCGATTCCGGTGGAAGGAGGTGGATGTTGTAATTACTTCATTCGCGAACGATAGGATATGGCACGCTGGTAATTTATTCGCGAGTGGTTTTAACGACGCGGACCGATTCACGCTAATGCACTCGGCAAGTGTCGTGCAGTTCCAGTAATGGTCCCGAGGTGTCTCTGAATTTTCATGAGCCACAATTTTACGAAACGTATCCCGCGATACCGCGAGATTGCTTAATGTCACGGCTATGGTTAGGTCCCCGCTGGACGCCTTGGCGACCTTCCGATCGCCACGGCAACCACATATTAATTCCGCCGCGATATCCTAATGATACTCGCTGGGTTTATAATTAAGGGAAGACTATCCCTCGGTACTGAAAAATCCTCTTGCGAGCTAAAGTGAAAATTAACGTGACTTCCGGGACTGCGAGGCCACTCATCATCCTCTTACTCGTGGCGATAGGAAGTCAACAAGGGTCAGAGGGCGCGCAGCGTACACGTTTCCTCGAACGTGCAAACAAAACAGCTGTTGCGGCGATTCTTGAATCACATATTCAAGTATTTTCGAATCAAAGGAAATCTCCCAACTATACATGCCCTCGTGTTCCCTTCTTTCTCTTTCTCTGTTCTATCTACAAGAAAAATCTTCAGTTTTGATCGAACTTCGAATTTTAATTGAACAAAGGCTTAACGGGTGCGCAAATTGTTCACGAAAGGTCGTGCAAGAGTGCGCTGTACCACAAGCGTCCGATAATATACCGTTGGACGTGTTTACACGCAGGCACGAAAATTGTGGGGAAAATGAGGTAGGCGGGAGCCTGCTGGCCGAGGTCAGGTCGTGTCACGGAGGAACCCAGGCTCGTCCACGCCCCCCTAACGATCGAAATTCATTTACATAATTATCTCACGACCGACGCGGATCGCCTGCGCTCCTCAGGGAAACGTTCGGCCTGATTCGGCCGGGGACATGCTTCATTCGTGTGAACCGCGAACGGAAGTCCGAGGTTAAATTCTTCAGGGGTCTACGATCTCGTTACCGTGCCCGTTAATAAGTCGACAGGTATCTCTTAATGGACTCGTTATTGGGTAATTACGAGCTCCGCGACGATGGTAGATTTCGATGATTGCTGGCGTTCCAAGCGGATTCCATCATCTTTCGAGATGCTCGCGGAGAGGCTGCGTGTAAAGCTCAACTTTATCGACAACGGAGCTGAAGTACATCGATATAAAATGAAGAATAGAAGATGGAAAGGATGGAAGGCAAGGAGCATGGAAATAGACAAAAGTGAGATTCGTTGGTTGGGAGATTGATTGTTACGAATCTGTTCAAACCCTGTTCGGAAGTAAACATTCATGGGAGATGTCGGATCTATTGTGGAGTTTGAATTGTTTATGAAGAATTAAACCCTTAATTTGGATGAATTACACCCCCCCACCCCCCACCCCAAACAAAAGATAAGAACTTTACCCGAAAGATGACAAAAATGTCTCCCTGGAAAATTCTCCTTTCGTTTCCACAGAGATCTTCGACATCCCAGCACAATAGTTCCTCTTTACACTAGCGAAGTATTTCTCGAATGCATTTCCCCTACGTGGCTGGTTTCTCGTTTTAATTGTGAGAGCCAAACCCGCCGGAATCTCCGAAGTCATTCGTTATTCCTGGTCGGAAAAACAGCGAGGATTTACGCGAACGTTCGCGGTATGGTGGTACCCGGTGTGTATGCGTGATCAGTGTCTCACGTGCATTTACATATCCGCCAACCCTCATGATTGCGAATGTACTGTTTAGCGTGTTGCCGTGCCGCGTGGATCCCTCTCTTTTTATCCCCTATAAAGCGGGGAACTCCGAGCAAGCGTCGCGGTGTCCGTATCATCAGCCATAATGTCGCTTTTTCATAACGGCGAGGCGACACGGTCTTAAATCCCTGCTTCTTCGATCTAGGCGCATTAAATTCAGAGAAGACGCGAGATTACTTATAATTAAACCACCCGTGCAACGCGTGCGTGTTCGAATACGTCGTCGGGACTATTTTCTTGCCCTTCGACGAGACTTGCTCGCGGCCAGCGAGGCGTTTGCCTCCGAGGGAGAGTATGATGTCAGGGCAGAGCAGATTATGTCATCGTGACATTGCAAACAGTAGGTCGATGTCTATGCTTAGATGCGAGTGCTTTGGCTCGAGAATTTTAGGTGGTTAGAATTCTTATAGTAATAGCTTTGAGTTTGGAAGCGTGGCGAACACTTGAGCATGTGTTGCATACGGCAATCTTTTACCTTAAAAATCGGGATAGGGAATACCCTGTAACGAATACCTATAGTTTCTACGCGCCATCGAGTCGCAGTCCTCCCGACTCAACGCGTCTGGATCTTAGCTGATCCACCTACGAAAGGTTTTGGAATACTGATACCTCCGTCCTGTTCTTCCGATCGTCCCTTATCTTCCCTTCCTCGTTCCAAAAAATCGCCCCAATATCGATTCCATCGCAAAAAGCGAATAAACAAAGACGACAATCTCAGGTTTACGACGGGACACGCGATACGTTGAACGTGGACGTTCCTCGAAGATTATTTTGCAGTTATTTATCGGCCATTAAGATTGCCCAAGTCTGGGGAATCCAATTTCATCTCGTCATTTGCGTACCATTTATTAAACGACACTGATATTCGGTAAGGATCTCTAGGAATAGTTGGCCAACTAACGAGAGGAATCTTCGCTGTACAAACATCGTTTTCACGACGCTTAGGGAGAGGTTCGCGCGTTTACGGCTGGGGATGTTTCGAAAATATTTATGGGGCGGCGCGTACGAAGCGGGAAACTCTCGTAGTGGCGAGGTGTGAAATTACAGGCACACGCGGTAGATCACTTTTGTTGCGGAGCGTTTTACCCCTTGCGGAGACGCGTCAACTCCTTATTTCGCTGTTTTACGGGCGTAGCCATGGCCTCCTATGATCTAGCGCGTTCTATTATATCCTTGAATATTGTATTTAACGTCGGTACGTCGTGTAATGTCGTGTAATTCCGTAATATGCGCAACGTAATGCGGACGTGAATTCATTATTATCAAATCCATAAATTTGTCCGTGTTAAACGGGCGCGGGCCGATGCAAATGTGCCGGGAACGCGCGCAGCAGTAAATTGTTTCGTTAACATCGCTAAACGCCACCTAACCGGATCGCTCGATTGATCTGCTTGAACGCTGGACTCCTTTTCCGCGATTTGCTTCCGTGATATTAGGTCGTCCTTCTAACGAGGTCTCCCGGAGGAGCTCGATGCGACTGAAGCGTCTTTTCTTTGGTGTTACAGCTTCATCGTCGAGGGGCCAGTTTGGTCATCGGACGGCTCAGGATCAGATGCGAGGGAGGACAAGGAGACCATGGCGACGAAAGATGGACGTTGAGTGCGGAGGATGTGGAGGACCTGATTTGCGTGTACCGAGTGAGTGCATTCAGATTTTGAAAGCTGGTAATAATTATTAATTTAATAAACAATGGAGCGAAAAAGTCTGGAAAAATTAGGAAAAGTTCTTTGGGATTTCGTAAATATTTGCCTATATTGTCATTTCGATATTAGAATCTTGGAAGTGGGAAAGTAAAATCTTACGTATCACAATATTTACCTCCGTGGAACAAATATTTGTCCCTTCAAACGTTTTTTCGTATCATTGAAAGCAATGGGTTAGTGTCAGGTTTCAGCCTTGGGCAGTTCACCCTGCATATTGATTGATTCAATACAGGAAGTATGGGGGACATAGGTCGATATGGGATTGGACCTACGCATAAAGGAAATACTAATCACGTGAGGGCAATGGAAGGGTCATTGAATTCTTTCGAAATGGTAATCTACCAAATAGGGTCTAACAATAGGTTCTTATCCATCTAGCATTTATTATATACAACCTTTTCCACCCTGATAAGAATCTTTCTTAGTATCAACAGCCTAGAACAACTAACATATCAATTTAGATAATTAAGGAACTAAGTAGAAGCTAGCCCTCCAGAATTAATTTTATTCTCAAAAACTCTCGACCACACTTCATCTCCTAATGAAACTCCAACCTTTTACATCTCGAAACAAAGAAAGTACGATACATTAATAATAATAAAAAAAAAAAAAAGAAAAACGTATCGCGGGTTGCGCACGCACACTCCAGCCCGCGGGGAAATTCCCGCGAGACGGTATCAACGCGCGAACGCGGCCATAATGCACGCTCACGCAAGGTACTGCCGAGTTCTTCATTATCGTCAGGGGCCTAAATTGCGTGGGCGTACCTATACCTTCGTACAACGTTACTTACCTTGATATGTACTGTAGCCAGTACCCGCGCACGCACACGAACGCGGTGCCTCTTGCACGGACACGAGCTCGATCGGTACTCGAGAACGTCTGCGGTTACAGGTTCGCTAGCCGAGCATGGCCGAGGCTGCTCGAAGACTGCCGAGAGCTACGAAGCCGGTTGTCGCGCTCCTCGCCAGATGCGACGGCGAGTCAGTATCGCGTCAGTCCTCCAGCGGAATTGGTCAGTGATCTGTGTCAGAGCAGGGCCAGGCGTCACTAAAACTCTCGCTCGATTTACTCGTGAACCATCGCTCCGTTTACCTTTTGTACGCGATTCTACGTTGTCGGTGGTTCGACGTGGTTTCTCGTTTCGTCGATTATATATCCGCCCTTGCGCCTCCCCCTCGTCGAGAGCGCGCCCGGTGTCCGCCGCGTACACCTATAGCCGCGTATATATGTATACGTGCACGTAGTACCATATACAGTAATACAGTGCCACAGTGGAGTTACCAGTGGGGAAAACAAAAATTAGTTTGCAAGCGGACGTGCCTCACGGCGACCGTCGTCCACCACGTTCTGGATCGTACAACGGCGGCAGGTGAGTGGAATGTTTCGTAAGGGTATCGTTTCGTGGCAACCTGCCCGTCCTGCAAGGATTTTAAGTGTTTCGAGGTGTTTCGCGATCGCTTTTGGAGCTCATTGAGCCTATGTTATGATCGGTCGAGATATACGCGATAGCGAAGCCTGAGCGATTGTACGTGCTCGGAATCTGACCAGTTTTTACATCGTTTAACCTATTGAAAGGAACGTTGCGTTACCATACATTTATAACTATAATTGTTTTCGCAATCTTGATATCGGTTTCAAAGGAGATTGTTTTCCGAGCATTAAAAGTTTGAGGGTGATCGATTCGGAGCTTGGACCATTGGGACGCCATTTTTTGGAGCCAATCATCCGTAACAGAACTTCAAATTAATTTGAGTAATTGTACAGAGTTGTCGTGTTCGAGTCGCGTGTTAGATCGCCTTTTAAATGGTCTTTGTTAGTCTCTCTATTGTACTCGCGTTATCTTAATCGCGGGTGAATCAGACCACTTTTGATTACGTATGCATCAACGCGACGCAAGTATTTACTTGGAACCAGAGATGGCTAAGTTTCTTATCTAGACGCAGATTTCGAATGACGATTCATAGTTGAAAAAGTCTTGAATGGAAATTAGAATTTGAATCACAGAAATGTTTCGCAATGAGAATGTAAATGGATCGAATAAATTACTGTTTGTTTTTCGAGTACAATTTTATCCATTTCTGTCTGGAAACAACGAGAGCAACAGTTATGGTAGCTTCTCTTATATCGTATATTATTGTTCGTTATTTTGTTTGTAATGGAGCAATGGGCTCGTTGACTTGCCCACTGGATTTGTAATTTTAAGTACGATCCTCTTCCGAGGTCGAGATTCCCCAACGTTTCACCCTTCGGGCTCCGAAAGATTCTATCCGCTCCATTTGTTAGTGTCGCCCAAAAAATGGCGGTCGAGGAGGGAGCGACTTCTCTTGCAAGGTGATCGTAAAACCGAGACTGGTAGGCCGTCGCTCTTCTCTTCTTCGTCTCGGTCCCTTTTTTTCCGTTTTTCTCGATCCCTTACCGTTAGTGGCCCGTCCTACCGTCGAGGATCACATTGATCAGCGTCGAAATTTATCTCCGGAGCTGCTCACCTCGTACGTGCCTTTACTGGCTTTTCATTCGCTCCTCGAAACACTTAGACCCGTTTTTGCGACAATCTTCCCTCGGAGCTCCGTTCGAAGACCTGCTCGAGCTGGTCTAACAATGTAACAATGAGCACAGCAGAATGCTGGCTATTTGCGATTTAGCTTTGCTTACAATTAGTATGATCATCGAGTGTTTGGAATACTGAGTTTTGAGATTTTGCAACATTTCGAATCACATCTATGCTTAAAGTATGCGTTTCTTGCAATCCCGGTGCTCTCGAGAACTAGTACTCTGAGGTACTTGCGCCCTGGAGTACCTGTACTCAGAAAAATTTCGTTATTTTAGCTCCGTTTATAATAATACATTTATTTCTCGGCCTATAAATGTAACGTGTAACTTTGATACACGACATTGTGTGTAGAAAGGAAATCGTACAAAGGTCCTCGAACGACGCGAGTCCTGTTTATAGTCAGGTTTCCTGATAATCGAGGGCAAACACACCACTTCGTAGAATTGGATGGGTAAACAACTCTTCGCGTTGACCGTCGATTTCCACGAATTGAGCCAGCCTCTCGCGGCTCGCAGCTGATATCACGATTTTCCCCTCGGCTTTTTCCCGAGAGGACAATGGCTCGTGAATACGCGAACGTTGGCGCGCGCGACTGCTGGCCGTCGAGGTTAAAATCGAATGTATGTCACGTTCACCGTGGCGTCGATTAGTAATCGGAGCGCGAGCGGCAATTACACTTGAAAAAGTCAATGTTACGTTGGAAGGTTTCGGTGCGGGTTGTGCAACCATGCGTGTTCCGGGTTGCGTCTCCCAGTTGGCCGTTTCACGGTGCGAACTTTTTAAGCCGGGCGTCGTGACGCGGTGAATGAACGGAGTTGTTGTTCGCGATCGACTCTTTGTGCGAGGAGTCGGGAGGGGAATGATCCGATCGCGGATCGTGGGTATCTGGAGGTTTCAAGTGAATATTATGGATATATACAATATTAATTTAGAGATACTAGAGAATAGAAAAGAAGCAGATATTCCCCGAAAGCAGTTTAATTTATATTTGTATTAGTAGGATAGTACAGAAGTTAATCTATAAGGGGAATTGTACGTAGGTGTAGTAGGTATTTACAGGAGAAATTCAATGTAGCAAGAATTAAGTAAACTTAGAAGATGCAATTAAATTATGAAATGGATATATAAGTAGGAGTATTGTTTAGTTTAGATAGGGTGATATAGACGCAATATTCCATTGTTGCTATGGAGGCCTTATCATCGTTACCTTTATCGATATAAAAATTACGGGCATTCTTTGCACTCGTTATCGATGCGTATCGCAGAATAATAGACGTTATCAGCGATTATAGATTGACTCAAACATCAAAAAGCGTATAGTGTATCATCCAGAATCAAGAAAATAAATTTAACGAGTAAAATTGGTCCCTAAACCGTTTCGATCAAACTTAAAAGAGACACCCTGTAGCAGCCTCACTTTGGCAGGTCTCTCGGCATGAAAAAGCCCCTCTAATGGCGCCAATATTCTTTTCAGTGGGCAGAAATCGAGCCAATAAACGTCATCGCATACCCATTCGCCACTCTTGACCTCCAGTGGCTTGTCCAATGAGGTGGGGGATGCGTTTTGCATGGAATAATTCCCATTGACGTCGCGTCAGTCACATTGGGACGGTAGAAAAGAACAAGATAGGATAGAAAGGGAGTGTTCGAAGTGGGCCTGAATGTCGCGAGGCGATAGGTGCCACACAATGCGTGCCCCTCGACGTCGGCATTAAGCATTATATGCGTAATTCACGAAGGTTATTTACTATACAATTAGAGATCCCGCGCCACGTATTACGCGGGAAGGTATGTGCGCGCGCAGGTACACGCGGACGCGAATGGTAATGGTCCCGTGAGTCTCATCAGCAAACGCGCGAAGCCAGAGATGTCGGGGAAGGAGAGAAATCCCTCAGTTTTTCTCCCAACGTTAGCTGGCGTAATATACGATATGTACGGTGTAACGAGGTATGTAATGGGTAATAATGCGTAATGATATAATGCGTACATTCCGCGCCGTACGTCTCCGCTATAACAAACATTGTTAGTCCCGGAGATGCCGTAAAAGGGCTCGCTGGTCCATCTTCGCGATTCCTAGAAGGGCCCGCGAGATGATACGATCCTGTCTTAATGCTCGACGGAGAGGGCGGGGATCTCTAATTCATGGGGGATAGGACGCTGGGTATAGGGTCCGAGTTGCCCTGTGAGTCTTCTTTTGGCGAGGGTGATGACGTTGGAGATGGAGGAATTGGGAATGGAAAGGATAGCTTTTGTGTTGTTGGTTGGATAGATTGGCCCTAATTCCTCGAGGGGACCTTGGCGATGGCTGGAGGAGAACGAGAATACACAGGTAGACGATGCTATGGGAACTCTTACCCTGGGGGATGAAGGTGTTCGAAGGAATGATGCTCGTATTGCTATTATAGAAAGCAGAGGTCCTCAAACTTATTTGCCGATAGGATCAGATTTTTAATAACTAAAACATCTTCCGAGATATCCTGCTGTACTCGCTTAAAAAGAAACACCCTGTATATATAAATGCCTCGACGATATCATAGTACACGAAGCATTTAAAAATATTACCAAGCATCCAAACCTTCGTTACCTTCCACCGCTCCCCATTAAATACCAAGTATCGATGATGCTCCATCATCTCTAAGCCCCATCTCCAGTGTCTACCTGGAACGAGTCACGCGACGTTCGCTGACTCGTCGAACGTACCCTGGAATATTACAGCCATCGGTGGCGGTTATTCAGAATACTAGACTCGTAGAGAAGCAACCCGAACAGATTGGAATTGGAATCTCATTGCTCGCGGGTCGCCGCGTCCTCGTCGCGCAAGAAGAAGGCGCAGCCTCCGTCGCCGTGGCTCGATCGACAACTTATTCCCCGATTAGGTTTCTCAAAGTGGCCGAAGACAAGTTTCGTCGCTAATTTATTGAACAAAGGGGATCCCCTGTCTCGTTATACAAACCAGGAAACATGAATTCAGCGAGAGTAGCGTCGTTAATGCGCGACGTTTTCCTGTTCCCGCCAGGGGACTCGTGGCGTTATTCCACGGCTCGATCTCGACGGTTTTATCCACGGAATACCGGCGCGCGTATCCTTCGTCCCCGCTTGTCCCTCGATAACGGCTCGGTGATTACAGGTATACGCGTTAAAACCGAATTACGCGAGTCGGTTTCGTCCGCGGGGCCGCGATAACGAGAACATTGTTGGCGTATTACGCGATAAGATAAACCGGGACCCCGGAGGGAACTATATCACGGGATACTAATTAGAACTGGTCCCTGTTTATTTCGCCATCCGCGATACGGCGAATTATCGCGAACACGACCATCACAATTCCGACGGGGAACGGCTCCTCGCTGGTCGAAGCTGCCACGGAATTTTCATTAATTGCAATTTCCATTTGATGAAGTTTGTCAAGGATCAGTTACGACGTTCGTTTCAACCTGGACGACACTTAACGGCCTGGCCTCGTCAAAAATCAGCGAGATTGCTGGTCCGTGGGATAATCCCTCGACTTCCTCGCGCCACGCTGAACCTAGAGATCGCGTTCTTGCCTATTTATGCAATCTTGACGGCATCCCCCCAAAAAATGCCGGAATGCTCTTAACCGCGTCGAGTCTCTATCTTATGCGGAGTTACCTCTAACGAGCGAAATTAAGCAGGAAACATTCCTCGAGATTAAACGCCTACGCGAAACACCGGTCTTCCTATATCCAGAGAAGTGATTATCAGCTGTTTATACGCGGTGTACGTCTGAAAACAGAGGCAAGGGCTGATATCGTGGCAAAAGATTGCACGGTAATTAAAGATTTACTTGTTTAATCGAT